GGAAGGTCTTCAAAAGCGACAAGGATTTGGAAAAAGAAGGAAGATGGCGGAAGTGTTGCACAGGATTTGAAGGGTAGCTTTAAGTCCAAGGTATTTAGCCTAGGAGAGGAGGTTGAATAAACCAACTTTGCAAAACATAGCTAATATGTGTTTATTTGGTGTCCGGCCATTTGGCCGAAAACTTGAAAAGAGATTTCCAATTTTTGAACACTACTAGAACCTAAATGGCAGCTATGTGGACTTTTTTTTACTTTCCACAATTATGATTTTTTGACATTATAAATATGGGATTTTTGGTGAAATTGCATATTGTTTAATACTGTCGATGAATTTATTTTTCTTATATTCATGAGCAGTTCTATGGAGTTTTGATGATCTTATAATTGTTGGCACAGTAATCGCAGCTTGTTAAAAAAATTAATTAAAAGTTATGACCACTTCTTTGGAAATTTGTTGTTCTAGTTATTTTTTGCACAGTAAACGCAGTTTGGCAATAAATTAATACAAATCAAAATTTAATAAAAATAGGAGATTTTTCCTTCTCTGCAGTTCCATGAGCAGTTTTGTTGTTCAGTTTCGGCCAAACAGCATTCGGCCAAACGACTTATTAGGCCAAATGGCATTCGGCCCAACGACATTCGGTCAAATGACCCGGAACCGTTATTATGAACGATGAAACATACGTCAATTTGACTACAAAACGCTTCCGGGAGACCAATGCTGCACAGTTCGCGATGGTCAGGAAATTGACGATTGACCGATAAGTCAATTTTTACAGAAAAATTTGGTAAGAATGCCATGGTTTTGCAAGCGATATGTCAGTGTGGCAAGCCATTTGCGACGGAGGAGACGATGAACACTTAAATTTGCGTTCGGGAGTGTTTGAATCGTCGTCTACGGCCCATGATCCGTCAACATGATGTCCCAGTACTATTTTGATCTGATTTGATGTCAATGCACTACTTGAAAGACACGGTAGCTTGGTACAAAGCAAATAGATCGCATCCCAGGTAACAAGTTGATGCTTAGCACGTGTTCTTTCAACGATTTTAATTCAGTTCTACTCAAGTAAAAATTCAAGCTGAATTGTAAGAACAGAAGCTGATTATTGGTTGATTTAATGTGTACGAAGCTGATTATCACCAAGCTGAATATATAGTTGATTAAAAGTGCATAAAGCGGATTGTATCCCCATAATTCAATCCCTGTAAGACTGAAAGACTTATTTAAGCTTAGCACTACTCCACAAACCAGCAATGAAAAACATGATTCATCATGTTTGCAAGCAACAGAAGATTTGACGCTATCTGCGTTGTTTGCTTGTTTCTCCCGGTCCAGAAATTTGTGGCATCGCGAGCGATAATTTTAATTTTAGTTTATTTACGCGGTGATGATGTTGGTTCACTCGCAACTATTTTGAAAAAAAATAAGTGTTTTCGAACGAAAGTGTACCAAAAGTGCTTCTGAACGTGTTTCGTAGTTGGGTGTGGTGAAATTCATGCATTCCCGGTTGATTTTGGAAAGCCGTATCACAAAATTGCCCACCGATTCCTTTTTTTTTTTGCCGATCGACGATGACGGGTGTGCTTTCGCGAGAGTGACGTTTATTTGATCCGTTTCTTTGCACGGGTGTGTTTTTTTTTTGTAACTAGCGTAAGTGTGCCTGCGATTTGCATTGAGTGTCGGAGATTGTAAGTAATCTGAAGGATGCCTCACTGGATACGCCCAAGACTGGACGGGCAGTAGCTGGTGGCCGTGAATGGTTCCTGAGGAAAGCACCAGATGCGACCCTCCTCCCAGATGACCATGGCAATACAGGAAGTATTGGTATTGGAAGGTAATTGCTATTATATATTTTGCAAACAGTGACAGATAGCGGACATGAAGAACCAGTGGAGGTGCCGGGCAAAGGTGTTTATCCTACACACTTAGAAATTATTATTTTTACACGAAACGTAATTCAGCTTTGACGTAAATCATGGAACGTAAACAAACATAGCATGTAAAATTAAGTGTCCTGAAACTGAAACGTATGCAACTCGACGAAAAGTGCGTTTGATTGAAGTGATTTTCTCGTCCTTTTCAACTGATTTTTATGTCAAAAGGGCCGCTTGCATGTGTCGGTCTTAGGGCATTGAAATTTACATGTCTTTTTCGTAGTGTGTAGACAAATGGTGAGTTACAAATTCGCTGTTGTCGTTGTCGTAGGCGCCGTCGTAGTCGTAGGCAGTACCGTTAGTATATTTAAAATTGACCACCAACCGCTGAAAATATGAATTATCGCGTATTTCAGTTGTTCATTACATGCCAAGTAAAAGTCGAGAACGTAATTTCATTTGAATAGCTTGTTCAACCAGGTCTTAAACAATCGTCACGTCGGTCATAGCTTGTTATGATTACCTGAACCATGCGTAAAGAGAAAATCGAAACATTTAACGTCGCGTAAAAATGAATCTTAATGAAGGCCTCTTTCGTAGCTTTTAGTTTAAAGATTTCAAAGATCGTCGGTTGCAGTGGCTTGTTTACTGAGCAGAAAAACGCGGTCCCAGATCCTTTCATATTAAAAATACATGGTTAGATCGCTTGTTTGTGTATTTTGTAAAACTTTTCGTTGTCTGAATAGTCATAAAAACTTGAGTAACGCTATAATGTGATATGAGGGGCTCGGTGGCCTTAGCACAACCGGTTTTGCTTACTGAGCAGAACATCGTGAGTCTAATCTCAAGCCCATCCACATTCAAGATTCGTCAATCGTTTTTTTACATGACTGCATGGTAATAACAGCAACTCGATGATTAAAAAGGAGCTCGTCTGCCTAGTGGAAAACGTTTTTGCTTACTGAGCAGAAGACCGTGGGTTCAATCCCAAGCTCCTTCGCGTTATATGATTGTTAGGACATCAATTCAGCTTATCGTTTACCAAAACGAACCCTGCTGCAAACCCAATCCTATTACCCAATATCCCAGTGATTCATCGTGGAAGTTCAGAGGTGTTCTCGGCTTCCATCAAAGCGAGTGTCACGTCAACACATTCCTACCCCTTCCTTTCTTGACCTGTGTTCGGGCGCGGCCGGCGCTGGTATTGCCTAGTTTGAGATCACCAGTTTTTACACATTGAGGATGATTGCTAGTCCCAAGCATCGTCTATTGGTTCTCTGTATAATTACAGCCGGTCTGGCAATAACAGAGTAGCAACTGTGGGCGGTCAATCATGCTGATGCTCATGCTCATGCTCAGCACTACTCCACAAACCAGCAATGCGCTACAAATATTTTGATAGCCTGATAGAATAATATGAATTTATTGCACAATATTGTTAATTGTCGTCATGTCACTTGTTGCATTTCCGACATTTTAATTATTCTAAAATCACCAAGCAGCGCCAGCAGTAGAGACAATGAAGAGGAGATTTTTAAGGATAGCTCCAGGTAGAAGTGGACTGCGACCACGTCGGATATATTAACATTTGTATTCCTGTGTTTTGTTTGTTCATCACTTTATATTGCACTTAATTTTCATACCGCATTTCAAAAATATAATTCAATAATAGCAGAAAAAAGCATCGAAATACAGCGCGCACTTGTGTCCATATTGGATTTAGTGCCATTGAAAACGAAAGGAATGTTTTACTGCCACAATTTGTTGTTAACAATGCTGCATTGCTGTACAACGCTCTTCCGGTTGCTATAATTCAACTTAAATTTAACGTGATTCAAGTTAATGATCACACCTTTTGCCACAAATATGCTTATATGGTCCAGTGGGTATAGTTAACGCCAGTGAATCAGCGACTGCCGGTTTGAGTTCCAAAATTGTAAAGGTAAATTTTAGACACATAAAAACAAAATAAATAATAAAATTTAATTAGTCAGCATCAAGGTAAAGCAGTCCCACAAAAAATGTAAGATAAGAAGCGGTCTTGCATTTAATTTTTGAAATAAAAGCTGAACAAGGGTTGGAAAAGACTGTTGTTTAATGCCTTGAAAAGCTTATAATTTATATTGCTGCTAAGCTTTCGGCTGATTGAGTGACATGACGAAAATTAACAATATTGTGCAATAAATTAATATTCTTCTATCAGGCTATTAAAATATTTGTAGCACAGGGCTGGTTTGTGAAGTAGTGCTAAGCTTAAATAAGTCTTGTTCAGTCTAACTTACTGAGGTTGAGTTATGGGGATACAATTTGTTTTATGCACTTCTAATCAACTATATATTCACCCTGGGGTAAATCAGCTTCGTACACCTTAAATCAACCAATAATCAGCTTCTGTTCTTACAATTCAGCTTGAATTGTTATTTGGGATAGTTTTATTTTATATTTAAGAAGACATTAATCACATTGATAAGCTGACAAGAGATTTTCTAATGTGAATTTCCCAACCTTTCGGACAAAAATTTTGTTGGAACTGGAGAACCGCAAAAATGGCCGAAAATTACCAATATATAAAAAAATCTACGTTCAAACCGTTACATCTTGAAAACGGTGTGACTTAGCAATTTTTATGCAAACATTTTTTTAATGTAAATTTGGTGTACCAAATCAAGTAAAAAAAAATTGAATCAAGTTTTTAATGATTTTTCAAAATCTTGAGTTTTTTTCTAAAATAATTCATTGGCTCTTAAAACATAAAAAAAAAGTTTTTTTTAAATAGGTAATTTGTTTCTAGAGTGTATTTTTTTTTCAAATAGTTTCAGATGTTCCCTAGAATATTGTTGAAGCTACTAAACCGATTGGACATACATTTTTCGATTAGCAGTTTTCAAATTAAGACTCAATTAAAAATAGTGATCTGAAATGCAAAATGGCATTTTTTGTCAGTTTGGAAAGTTTCCGAAAAATTTCAGGTGAAATAAAAAATATTGTCGATATTGAGTTGGACTATCCTTCTCATTTCTAAGCTCCATCACTGATTCTTCTCATGATTACCATCACGATTATGCTTAACTTATATCAAATCCTTCACTTAAATTCATTACAAGTAGCACCTTATCAACACACCTGGTATACAGCCAAAATGTAACATTTTCGTTGGGACACCTTTTTTCCGTTTCAAAACATTTGAAGAAATTCCAGTCGGCAGCACTAAGCGTTAGTAATCCAAGCAATACACCGAAAATCCAGTATTTAATCATTGTTAAAATTCTCCGCACATACAATCCTGGTTAGAATCAGTTCGTCACTATTTTTTCAGATTTCATTTTCACAAAACACTTCATTTTCATTTAAAACAACTTGATTTCACAAAAATCCAGCACATGCAACTGTTAAACAACTCAGCAAGAAAAGTAGTTAGAACATTCTGAAAACCACATTCCACCTTGAAGTGGTCTTTTATAGTGACTGTTGCGAAAAAAAACAGTGAGAACTCTTCTTGTCCCTTCGTGTGGCGCTATCACATCGCACCCCCAAACAAGCAATAATTCATTTTCTTATCAACTTTGGCGCAAAGGCCGAAAGGCGTGTATCGAACATGCGTAGTTAGTCAGTAAATGCACTAATGAGGATCAAGTACCAAAGCTTCTTTTTTTCTGCTGGACATAAATTGTGGGGACACTGGTAATGGTGCTGCACCGTTAATCAATTTTGCGAATTTCAGTAGCAGGTGGACATAAACTGTAATTAATGGCTGAAATAAAATCAAATGCACTCAATTCTGCTAGGTGGATTGCCCGCGATGTATGCTGCAGGGCTTTAATTAGAATTTTATGCAAATGAGGCGCATTTTGTAAATACTGGCGATAATTTGGCGAAGCCCTTCCTTCTCCTGCGAAAGAGTACCGGTTGCGGTGATCTTGGTTGTTTAAACGGCTTACATGATAAAATTCGTCATCGTCATCGGGTAATCTGGCGCTTGTTGACGGGTACAAGATAATTACCGTTATAAGAAGTCACTATCGTTCAAAAGCCCCGCGAACGCACCGAGAACAAATTGGCCACAACGAATTAGATCCGGGCTTTGAACTTGACACGACGACTAATTACTATAGCGCAAACCTAGACTCAACTGAAACAAAGTAGTATCCGCAATCGGGGTAGCGGAAGTTGAACTTGGATTCAAATTGGTGTGAAAGTCTAATCATCATTTTTGTCAGGCTAAATACGTTGATGAATGGAATTCTAATTAATACTCGACGAACTAGAAATGAGACAGCCACTTGATTAAGCTATGTTCTAATTACATTTATCGGTGAAAGGAACTGGTTAGAATTGTGTTGGCCGCTATCGGTGTGGTATAATTGAATAAGTATCTTGACTATTTGTAAACCCTTAAACGGTTTGAATATATGCAGCAAAACCGTTTACTCAACATATCAATCAAACTTTAATTATTATTTTGAAGGAAAGTCAAAACACTTAATGATCGTTGCATAATTTAAAAAAAATAGCATATCGTACCTATTTCAGCGACAACTGATCCTTCATGTGAGTCATTTCTCCATTGGCTCAAATAAACTCATAAGCAAACTGAAGTTATACTATACATTGGATTCCTAAATCGTATGAGTTAAATGTTGCAGGAAATTTAGAAAAACACCAGACATCGGTAACTGGCCACAAGGGGATTATTGGTGCCGATGAGTGTATGAGAATAATGTGGCATTTGAAAATTTAAAACGGATCAAATACAAAATGCTTTTTGTAAGATGACGAGTCAGACTCTGACTTGGCTGAGGAGGGAACTCCTTTCAGTTTTCCGGAAGTTTCTTCACGGAAACGAAGACGCATCCGTTCATGGAAAGTTGTAGATCAGGAACCCGAAATCAGCTTGCCCAAATCAAGGAGTGGTGAAAAAAGTAGAAGGGTCTGTGCCTAGGGGCACGAACGGAAGCTTGACGTAGGACCGCTAGTGGACGGAACAAATGTGAACATTTAGTTCTTTTAATTTATCAATCATCAATTATCTTAACTCTCTCCGTTTTTTATTTGTAAGCGTATCAAATTTGTAGTATTTATTTCAAAGAGAAAGTTGATGAAGAGAATCGAAGGGACTGTCAACTTGAGTATTTTCGATTCATCTACCCGACTTTAAAAGGTGTATTTTGAATTGTTTTGTTATTTATGAATTTTTTAGTTATGTGCATTTTGGTATTAAAGTGTATTCAATTCACCCCTCACAGGATTTCCTTCCAAATTATATGAATGGGGCGGGATGGAAAGTATCGTTTGTGCAGAATATGTAAAAAAGGAGGGACTTCGAGAGATTGAACTCGTGAGAGCTAATTTTCTCACAAATTTGATTTTATTGGCTTTCTGGGGACTGAATATACACCCAAAGCGAATTATTCCCACTTCCCTTAAGTTCTATAGGATTTTTAAACACTTGCTACCAGCGTGTTCTGGAAAATGGTCGGACGATGATTAATCTCACCAATAGATTCGGGCCTACAATTCCACACCTTCTATAGATACCAGGTTGAGCCTTAATAGCTAGCTGCTTGCGGGAACTGATGACCTTGACAAATGTCCAAATAATACTCTTAACAAAGTTATGGTCGAAACCTGACCTCTTTTCGTAATGCTGTGCATTTTGGTTTTTTGAAATTGCGTGGATTCTATAGATTATGTGGAGATCTATCTAGCCCTGATGTATGTGTTGGTAGAGGGAAAAATGTCAACTTTGCGGGAGACGATGTCTTAGCACTCGAAAGCAATTTTGTGAAATATGAAGTAAAACAAATCCCAGCTAGTTCTACATGATGATTTTTTTTGATTTTATTTATTTGTAAAGTCGCCGGGAAATACCCGCTGGTGATTTGTTTTTTATTATATCTCCTTACTTAAAAACAGGCAAAAACTCACAAACAGGCTGGTTTATCATGGTATATACAGTGTGATAATTCAATAATCAATAAATAATCTCAACATTTAGTGGCAAACCATTCATAAATTTTGATAACATACAAAAAATTCTATAATCCACATTAAATTTCATATGTAAGCGCCGATTGAAATAATCTTTTTGACGTCACTACAAGGGTGATAGATTAAACGAAAGAAACGAATCGTGCGGAATGAAAGCCGAGGAAAAACTAATTGAACCAATATATTCAGGCCTACAATTCCACACCTTCTATAGACAGGTTGCGCCTTGATAGCAAGCTGCTTGCGGGAACTAATGACCTTGACCAATGTTCAAATAATACTCTTTAACAAATTTTTGGTGGCCTTGAAAAGGGCCGTTTTGTAGTGATGGTTGCGTAATTCTGAGCTGGGTGTTCAACGCGGATGAGGCTGTCGAGCTGTATGTCTTCTGGAGCGAGGGTGACACGCTTGGCATAGATGACCGACCCGCAGCGACTTACGAAGAGCTACTGATTCCGATCCATAGCATAGCGGTGCAGCTTCTTCCTCCTTTGATGGTTGCTTATGTGGGCTCTGCAGCTCGCTGCTTGCAGGCAGCCTTTCGTTGTTACTGGAGAACAATTTTAAACGCCACACGCCGAAAGCACTGCTACTGCTGCTACTAATTTCGACGACCGAACACCACCACACAGTGGTGTGGTCGTTGGGAGCGTGTGGTTCTGAGTATGGTGATGAGTGTGCAACAAATTACGCAATTCCATCCTCCCTATTCGCACGCGTCCGAGGATCGGAGGCGAATGCCACTTCGACTTGTTTCGTCTACTTACTACTCTCTGACGACTGTGCTGGGGAAGCAGCATATGCATGTAGGTAATTGGTGGATTTGTTAGTTAATTCGACGCTTTTGGACAATGCTGGACATTTACCAGTTTATCAATAGTTTCTTGTTGAAAATCATTATTCGGAAGCATTGTTATCGATGCGTAGCCATATTTCTGATCGATTGGTGATAAAATTATTGAAATTGGACCAGGGGCAGCTGAGATATTAACGTTCAAAATCTTTCTTAATTTGTTACATGTTCCATTTTCGGTTTTCACAAAGTGTACCCCCATATAGAAATCAAAGACGTAGTCCTACGTCAAAATTGAGACTTCTGCCCAATTTTTAGGAACCGAAGCCCCCTCCTCATTTGGGTTGCTTTCATTTGATAACATTGTGGACGGTATCCTCAAGTATCTCAATATTTCTGATCCTCTCAAAAGCATTATTCTGGTAATGTTTCCTACTGGATAATTTTTCAAACTAGGATAGGGATTTGATAACTGTTCTACAGTGGAAGTGTCGAAGTCTTATTCCTAAGTTAGAATCGTTTAAGCTTTTAGTCCACAATAATAATTGAGATGCATTTGCTCTTTGTGAATCATAGCTCCCTCCAGATATCGATCTACCATTTCATGATTTTAACATTATTCGACTGGATCGCGAGGATTTGCGTAGAGGAGGGGTACTTGTTTTGTCCCAACCATTGGGATCCACTACAATTTATCCCAACCATTGGGATCCACTGTGTCTTACTGAATTACACGCACTATGTTTTACTTAGTTGGGTACGATCATCTCACACGGATGTGATATCTCGGTGAATATTTTACGATATAGTAAATGAGACTTGGTTCTGGATCAAGTATGCTACTTGGTAAGTACCGTGTAGAGACTGACTTTATTGAGTTTTTCGGAGGGCTTTTATACCCGTAAAAGTTATACAAAAAGGTTCTAGGCGCCACTACGTCTGGGCCAAAAAAGCGATGTGCCGCGAAACTGCGATACACGCAATTAATCTACAAATATTCAAACGTGCGCGGTATTGATTCAACACATGCTGCACTAGGTCCGTATGACATCAATCAATACGCACGCTTCTTGCTGAGTAGGAAAATTAAATTTTGTTATGTTTTATCACAACACCTTCCCCTTTTGGGAGAATGATGTTATATCATTCTATGACCCGAGAACCTTATCTTTAAATTTTAAATATTCTATTTTTATGAACGGTTTGTACTTGTTTTGTTATTGTATGTTGTATTGTTCTTATATGTTGTATTGGTAACATTTTATTCTATTTCCGTTTACTAAGCTTACTCTGTCTTCTATTTGAATTGTTATTGGTTTTACAATTTATTGATTGTGTATCGTGTTTACCTTTTTTCCAAATATTCTCTTGCTCTTTTATAAGCAATTTGTAATCTGTGTTATAATTCTTTATTATAATCATCTACGTTATATATTGGTTGTGTATTTGTTGCTAACAATTCTTTTTGCATTTGTT